CGGTCTGCACCGCTGATTCACATACAGCATGAGATCCCTTTGACGTTCATGACTTCTAGTTTCTGGAAAACCCCTCCCTCCCCTTGCTGCTGTGCAGAAGGTTGGATTTGGAGGGATCCCCTCTGTCCCTCCAGGGCTGTGAGCTGCCTTGCATTCTAGAGCTGGGTCCTAGTGGGGAGGGGTGCACCCCACAGCTCCATGGCAGGTATTTTGTGGTCAGGCAGGGCCCCTTTGGCTGCTGTTTTGTGAGTGGAGGGCCAGGATAAGATTGTCTCCAGCTGGAAGGCAAGGCAAGGCGTGGCATGACATCTCCTCTGCCTGGCTCCTGCACTGGGGAGAATGAGGGAGCCCTTCCTTTCTCCCCTCCCCTCCCCTCCCGCTCTCAGATCGGTGCCCTGCAGCCACCGGCTTCCTCCATGGGATGTGACTCAGGCGGGTGGGGAGTTTGCCCCGAGGCGCCTTCCCTGGCAGGATGAGCGCCCAACCCCACCTTTCTGACGCGCTTTGGCACCCCAGACGCATGGGCGGTGGCAGTGAGGGCTGCTGGGAGCCTTTGAAGCCCTTGTGTTGCAGTGCATTCCTGTGTCTGGGCCCAGCCCAGGTCTGGCTCAGTGGAGCTGGGTGGGGCCGGGCCCTGCCAGCCTGGAATGTGCTGCCTGGGGATGTGCAGCCCTGACAGTTGGCAACCTTTGCTCCCAGAACATGTGTGTTCTCTTGCCCCCCCCCGTCAGCTGCACTTTTGTGCCCTGGCTCTGCCTATGTCCAGCCTGAAGGGGGCTAGGCGCACCTCCCTTGTGGCATGGGGGGGGAGTCCCCAGAGTGGCTGATCTCATGGGCCTCTGGTTGCTATCAGAATCAAGTAGCCTGGGTGAGGGGGCGGAGGGAGTGGGCTGTGCACCTTGTCCCTTTCTGGCTTGCCTGGGCTGCCCTGGGGGGAACAGCTGCCCAGAGCGGCTCTGGTGGTGGCCCCAGAGACCCACTCTGAGAGGTGGGCAAGCTGAAGGGAGCCGAGGGCCACAAGGGGGAGCCCCCCTTTATGCTCTCTGTTGGCTGTGCCAGGGGAAAGGCGCCCTCCCCCTCTTCTCTGGGATCGCCTAGGAGCTCCCCCCCCCACGTTGGAGGGGAGGTGAAGAGCACTGGGCCTCAGAGTCTTGTCCCCCCCTCTTGTTTCTCATCCAGGAGACGCCGGGATGGCTGGCCGGGAAGCGGTTAAGAGGCCGGGAGCGGTTTCCTGCCTGAGCAAGAGGCGGGGGGGGGGGCAGGGGAAGCCCAGGTCCCGCCCAGCCCAGCCCCCAGCGGCTCCGCGGGGGGGGAGGGAGGCAGGGCCGAGCTCCCTGGCCTGCTTGCGCCAACCTTGTTCCGCTGGGCGGCGGCGGCGGTAGCAGCACAGCCTTGGCCGGGAGCGGCCGCGTGGGTTCGGCGAGCGTCTGTCTGTCGGGAGGCGGCCAGGGGTCCCAGCGTCGTTCGGAGCGCCCATGTCGCGGCAGAGGGGGCGCAGCCGGCAGGGGGGCGAGGGGCCCTCCCCGGGGGGGCTGGTCCAGCCCAGCAACTCCGAGGAGAACCTGTACAAGGCCGTCCTGCGCGCCTCCGAGGGCAAGAAAGGTACGCGGGAGGCGGGCGCGGCGGCGGCGGCTCCCGTCGTCTCTCCGGCACCGCGGAGCCACCCCGCGGCGGGCCCTGGGCAGCCCGCCGCCTTTGGCCCGCTCGAAGGTCCTCTTCCGCGGCTGGGCGGGGTGCTGCCCTCCTGCCCCGAGGAGGACGCCGCGGAGCCTCCCCGCTCTGCCGCCGGGCCACTTCCTGGTGCGCGCGCGGGGCGGGAGACCGGGCGGCCGCCGTGGGGAGCAGAGGCCGGGCGGAGGGAGGGAGGGAGCGGCTCGGGCGCTGCCCAGCGTTCGCGGGGGGGGGGCGAAGGGGCTTTTCCCCGAGACGCGTGGACCCTGCTGGAGGGGGCGCGGCGGCGGCTGCCGGAGGAAGGGAAGCCGCCCCGCCCGACGGTCTCTGAGCCGGGGCGCGGGAGGGGAGCGCCTGGGCGCTCGTCCTGCCCCCCACCTGGGGAAGGAGCTGGTCGGCCGGCTGCTGCCTCAGCAAAGCCGGGGCCCGGCCTGGCCCGAAGGGGCTTGGGTGGGAGTTGGATGGCCGTGGCAGGAGGCGAAGGCTTGAGGGGCGGGGGAGCAGCGCCTCCGGGGAGGCTCGTGGGCGGTTGTGCGGGCCTGATCCGACCTGTCTCCCGCTGGTCCCTTCCCAGCCTCCTCCCTGGCTCGTGTTCCTCCTCCTCCTCCTGTGCCTTCCCTGCCACTCCCGGCTTGGAACCCTTTCGGTAGTGATTCTGTGCATGCAGACACCGGGTGGATTGAGGGCCGTTTCTTGTTCTACAAACCAAAGCATCCCATAATAAATAAAGCCGACGAAAGCCTCGGGTGCACAGCCGCCAGCACCTTTGTGAGGAAAGGCTGTCCTATCAGGATCCTGGGCCAGAGCCAGGCTGCTGCTTGGACCTGCCAGCTGCTGGGATGCAGACAAGAGTTTGACCCTTTGCAAAAGAGGCTTGGCTAGAAAAATGAGGGGGTGCTTGACTTACTCTTGAGTAAAACTGGGTGGCATCCTGGCCAGAAACGGACCCACCCACAGGGAATGGGACTTTGGCCTGGTCTAGCTAGCTAAAAAGCGTCCCTCTGTCATGTGAGAGCCCTCCGTTGCCCAAAGCGGCAGAGATGAGCCCATCTGGGGAGAGGATGGGCTATTGAAGATGCAGTTTATAGTGTGAGGGGGAGGGTGTGTGTGTAAGTGGCAAAGAGCCTGAATGAATTAACGGAGAGAGAAAAAACTCACACGGCCCCATGTCCACAACGCCTGTAGAAGCAGGACAGGTGAGCAGATCTCAATGAAGGTGAATGAACCTTCTGGAGCAGACAAACACCTGGGGGTGGGTTGGCTTTGTTAGGAACGATGACTGGGGGTCATGTAGGATGTTGCAAGTCGGGAGTGGATCCTGGAAAAAAGATGTGAGAAGAATTGCAAGGGGAAGTAGAAGAAAAATGAATGTGCTGCAGGAAAAGCTGATTATTCTCCCAAGAGAATGAATGAAAAGTTAGTATGAGAAAAGAAGAGGCAGAATCTGCTTTGGAAACACTTAGCAGGATTGTCACGGAGGCCCACATAAGTGTAGGGGTTGCCGTCACAGGAAACATAAAAAGGATGTTTGACAAATGATGAAATAAGAGACCTCGTGAGTGAGGGAAAGTGTGCAAGAGAATGATTAAAAGAGGCATAGAAAATGCAGAACAGTTCTGATAGAAATTAAATATTTGGGGATTAAATGAAGAGGACTAAAGGAGGCTTCAGCAGAGTGAGTGGAATTACAAATAAGAACATTATTGGGGGTAAAAAACCGAAGAGGGAGTGCTGGAAAGAATGTTAGGGTTTGCACGGAAATGATAGGAATATATTAAAGTGTGGAGTTGAAACCAACATCCAAGCAAATACAATAAAAAAGGGAGTTACCACTGCTCTTGAGAATTTTGAAAAATGGTCAGGCTCCAGGTGGAGATGGCATGCAGGGGAGAAACGGGTGTGGGTATGGTCTGGCTTTGGACTGGCTGTGCAGGCTGTGTGTGTGTGGAGACTGGTGAGCCCCCCCCCTCCCCCGAGAAGGCAGGTTCTGATGGGAAGGGCCCAGAAGCTGGGAATAGCTTTGTCGCCAGGAAGGTTTTTTTGCCCACACTTTTTTCCTGCTCAGTGACCCCCTGAGAAAGGAATGAATGCGAAAAGAACGGGACTGTCCTCTTGTTGGTTTAGCGAACAGGGCTGAGGTGGGAGATGCCCTGGGAAGTCTGGAGTTGGAGGATGGTGGTTGAACATAGTCAGAAGAAGGTTTGATGGAAGCCTAGCATCTTGAGAATAACTGGAGTGTTGGGATCTGAACAGGGGAATCCTGGAGGATGGATGGAGGTGTCCTTGGGTTGGGACCCGAATGCCACATGCAGAGGGTGTTCTTGCTGGCTGACAGTCTGTGCCATTCACAGTCGAAGTGATCTGGGTTGCATGAGACAAATCTGAAAATTAACCTGTCAAAAGGATGTTGGGAGAAAATGTGCTGAGATGTTTGAATGCCGGCAGAAAGAAAACGGATAGTGTGTGCTTTATTGCGAGGAATGCTGGGAAAGAAGTGATCACGGGGGTCGGGAGTAACATCTGCTTTTGCCCAGGGTGTGATCTGGGATTGTTGGGTCAGGCAAGTCCAGGTTGAAAGTCCAGAGCTGTGACAAGGGGGGATTCACTGATGCGTGGGCGGCAATGGGGAAGGATGTGACTTAACAGGAGGTGTGCAGTGTGCCAAAGCTGGCGGTACCAGGTTGGGGTTACCGGCAGAGCAAACTGCACAAGAGGAAAGGGGCGGATGAAGAACAGGGCTTGGCATGGAGGCAAGGAGAGGGTGAAAACAGAGGGGTCCAAGGAGCACCAGGTCTTGCCAAGCAAGAGTGGGTGGCTGGGGCAGAAGGGGGAGGAGAGGAGAAGGGAGTGTCCTGCTGAGGTTCCTTTGTCACCTCAGGGCTACCTGGCCTCTCTAGCCGAAGGCGTCTCTGGCCTGGGGCTAGAAAAATAGCTCACATCCAGCGACAAGTGCAAGGAGATTGACAGCCTAGTTAGCCCAAGGACCCTTTGGGGAGTTGTGCAAGGGAGCTGTTCTCCCCCCCCCCATTCCACAAGGGCTCTCCTTGCTGCTGCTGGAGGAGCAGGAGGCTTCTGGCTGGGCCCCTTGGAGAGCTTTGCTGGCCAAGCCGTGTGGTGGCGGGGGGGGGGGCTGTGCTGGGATATGGCATCCTTGCCCAGACCTCCAGAGGAGCCAGGGAGGGTTGGGCAAGAGAGAGTGGGCCCACTGGGGGTCTTCCCCTGTCCCTGCCCAGCCTCTGGAGAGGTGGAATCCTCCCGGCTCCCCTTTGCCTGGCTTCCTCTCTGCTTTCATGGGCCCCGCTTACCCCCCCCCCCATCCTCTTTTGCAGATGAGCGGGACCGGGTCCAGAAGAAAACCTTCACCAAATGGGTCAACAAGCATCTCTTCAAGGTAAGCCCCCCTTTCTTTACCTGGGAGGAGCTGGGTGGTCTCGGCAGTTTCTGGAGGACAAGTGCCAGCCTGCCTGCCTGGATCTGACCCAGGCAGAATGGATGCCAATTCTGGGGACCTTTCCCAGGGGAGGGGCTGTGAGGGGTGGACTGTGTGCAGGAGGCATCACACATGGTGGATCTGCCATCCGTTTTGGCACCCTTGAGGATATAGTTGGCCTTGGCGTCTCTTTCCTTTTTCCATTTTCTCTTTCCCTTCCCTTCCCTGAAGGAGACCCTCTTCCTTGCCCCAGTTTCTGGAGGCACAGAGACTTGTGTTCCCCACATCGTGGATCTGAGCTCGGGCTGACCGCCCTGGAGCTCTGCCTGCAGACGGGGTGGGATTTCTGAGGAGGGGCTTTGGGTGACGGAGAGGGCTGGTCCTGAGGAACAGCACCAGGAGCCCAGGAGGGCAGCCGTCCCTCGGGGGCTGCTTTCCTCCTCTTTGGGAGCCCCACCCTGTGCTGCCCTGGCACAGCAGTTGGAAATGCCACCAGTTGGGTGATGGGGGAAGCCCGAGGGCTGCAGGGTCCCCATTTAGGAGATGCTTCCTGTGGCCATTTCTCCATCCTGACTTCTCTCTGTGTCTCTCCCTGATGCGTCTCTCTTTCCTTCTTTCTTCTCTCCTGCCTTGGCAACAGCACTGGCGAGTAGAGGTATGTGCCAAGGCAGGCTGGGCTTCGACCCACTGCCTCCTTCCTTCCTTCCTTCCTTCCTTCCTTCCTTCCTTCCTTCCTTCCTTCCTTCCTTCCTTCCTTCCTTCCTTCCTTCCGGAATCTGGCAGCCTCTTCCTCTAGTGATGGCTGCTGGGCAGGCCTGAAGTAGAGGCTCTCTGGGGTGTGGGTGAAGAGGGAGCCTCTTGGAGGCAACCCAAAGCCAGATGGAGGGCAGGTCTGGACATTCCTAGGGTGCAACTACCTCCCTGAACTGACATGGGTGTGCCTGCCAGACTGGCATGCCTAGCAAGCCCACTCCCACCGAACCCCAGCTGCCTCCCAGCTGGGTCCACCTCTTAGTCCCTGTTTGCTTCCTCAGGCCCAGCGCCACGTGAATGACCTCTACGAGGACCTGCGAGATGGACACAACCTGATCTCACTGCTGGAAGTGCTCTCGGGGGACACTCTGGTACGTGGCCTCCTGCGCCTGCTCCTCGGGGCTCGGTGGGCAGTGCCGCTCTTCCCGCCCGTGCTCCAGAGGAAGCAGCTCAAGCCTCTGCACCGGGGGCCCCAACGTCGTGCCACTGCCCCACCAGCGTCTGCCGCCCTTGCCTCCTGCTTGTGGGTCGCTCTGCATCTCCTGCCCGGCTGCACCCCGCCTGCACCGTATGTCGCCTGGCCTGAGCCGGGAGTCTGAGCAGCAGCTTCCCTCTTGCTCCCCCCTTGCATGGCCGGGCAGAGGCTTTGGGGCGGGAGCTGCTCCTGTCCTCTTCTGCCAGGACCCCTGTCTTGGTGCTGGGTTCCCTGGGGGCAGGACATCTAGGCCCAATGGAGCCCAGCCCCAGCTGTGCTGAGGCCAAAGAAGCAGCTGGAGAGGGAGCTCTCCTCTACCGCCTCCATCTCAGCCGCCTGCCTGGGCACAGCTCTTGCAGATACAGGCTGTGCTCCCACTGGTGCTGTTCAGGAACAGGAATGGCAGCCGGCCTTCGGGACGCTCAGAGGAGATCTGTGGGGGCTGAACGCCATCTCAGTGGTCTCCTGAGTTAAGAGAGAGGCTTTTCGGAAGGAGGACGAAGGCGTGAGGTGCACGGACACCGAAATGCTCCCACCCAAGTGTGGTTCTTAGAGCAAGCCCCTGGGATGCTGCCGCCCTCCGGCTCCCCCCTGCTGCCTCTTCTTCCTCCTCCTCCTCCTCCTCCCCCCCCCACAGCAGGCCGAGCCTGCCCCACACTCTAATGCAGGAGCTGCTCCGGACTCTGTTTCTCTCTCACTTCCTCTGGGTTGTGTGTCCGCTGCTCCCTGTGCTGTTTGTCTGTCTCTTCTCTTTGCTGGATTCTGACCTCTGCTTCCCTCTCGCTCGGCTGTCACCTGCTGCTCAGCCCAGAGAGCGCGACGTGATCCGGAATTTGCGCCTGGTGAGTGGTCCCGCCCGGTTCTGCATGGCACCCCTGCTGCTGCTCCCGGCACCCTCTGGGGAGGAGGCCGGCTGATGTCCACCGCCTCCTCGCTTCGCAGAAGCCGCGTCCCGTCCATGCCCTTCGAAAGCTTTGCTTGACCTGTAGCTGCTGACAGGAGGCTGCTGCATTGCAGGCAGGGTGCCACGGAGTGGGCCCTTTGGCAGCGTGGCTCTCCCCTTGCCCGGAGCCTCGGGCGTTGCGGAGGGGATCCAGGGTGGCAGGCCGGCAGGCAGGGGGCTGTGTCGACGGCTCTTGGCACTTCCTCCTTTTCCGGAGGGGAATCCAGCATCGTGCTAAGGGTGGCTTTGTCAGCTTCTCTTGCAGCGGCCAAACTTAGGATAGCCCCAGGATGAGGACGCTTCGGCTAGGCGGGGATTGCTGGTGGGGGGCGGGTGGAGAGGTGGGAGTGAAGGTCTTTTCTCCCCTGCATTGTTTCCTGGCTCCTTCCGCCAGGCTGGGCCTTCTTCACGAGCCCCCTTTCAGCAAGGGTGGGAGGGAAGAGACCCCCCCACACACCCCGGCTTCTCCAGGGCCCTTACCTGAGCCTCCTTTGCCCACAGCCCCGGGAGAAGGGAAGGATGCGCTTCCACAAGCTGCAAAATGTGCAGATCGCCTTGGACTACCTGAAGCACCGGCAGGTGAGCCCCCGGGGTGAGGAGCCTGTAGAGGAAGGGGTGCAAAGGCAGTGGGGGTCCTTCCATCACTGTAACTCTGCACGTGTGTGTGTGCTTGCGTGCCCCCACAGGTGAAACTGGTCAACATCCGGAATGATGACATCGCCGATGGCAACCCCAAGCTGACACTGGGTCTCATTTGGACCATCATCCTCCACTTCCAGGTGAGGCCGGCTCCCCCAGCCTTCCCCCCTGCTCTGCTCTGCTCGCTCTAGCGGGCAAGGCCTCTCTTCCACCCCTCCCTCGCCTGTGGGCCAGATTCTTGTAAGAGGCGCCTCCAGCAGGCTATATCTCCACCCCCCCTCCTGTCCACCCCGCACAGGCGCTGAGATGGGCAGGGAGGGTGCTGCTCAGGAGCCTCGGGGCCAGCCCCCGGCTGGGGGGGGAGGAAGGCTGGGGGAGTAAGCGAGGAGGAGGAGAGGGTAGGAATGTGGGCTGTGGCTGGGAGAGAACAGGATGCTGCGGCTTGTGGGGTGACTCACCCATCAGTCGCTTCAGGACACAAGATTTTCCACTGAGTACTTGGCTTGGGTGGGGCGGGGGGGGGCACGCAGGCCTTGGCATTCCCCAGATGCAGGGATGGGTCTGGCTTAGGAGGGCATCTGCCGCTGCGTCTTGTGTATTGGACCGAGGCGGCTACTGAGGGCGGCTCATTTCTGGCTGCCAAGGTGCCCTCCAAGGCGCTCAGTGGAGGGCCAGGGCCACGTCTGGGGCGTCGGGGCCACCCAGAGAATCAACCCCCTTCTTGAGCCACACATGGCAGCCCTGGAGAGGCAGAGGGGCAGTCCAGGTCTGGGTGCAGAAAGTGGCCGAGCCTTGATCTGTCCCTCCTTCCCCCAAGATCTCGGACATCCAGGTGACTGGCCAGTCAGAGGATATGACGGCCAAAGAGAAGCTGCTCCTCTGGTCTCAGCGCATGGTGGAGGGGTACCAGGGCATGCGATGCGACAACTTCACCTCCAGCTGGCGCGATGGCCGCCTCTTCAACGCCATCATCCACAGGCACAAGTAAGGGGCGGGGCATGGGGTGGGGCATGGGGCGGGTGGGCAGGGGCCCATTGAAGGGGCCCTGATGGAAAGGGCTGCAGGGCTCCACCCAGGAGGAAGCTGCGCATGTCGGATGGAGGCCCCAACCCCAGGCTGCCCTGTTTGCGAAGGAGAAAGGGGGTCACCTCCACCTTCCTTGACGTGGGAGAGGGATGGGCTGGTGCCCCTCTGGCCCAGCCCCTCTCTCCCCCTCCCAGCTGACAGAGGGGAGGGGCCTGGCACACCTGCTGGTACCCCAGCACCCACTCCCGAGTCAAAGATGGGAAGCTGGACCAGAGGGCAACAGGTGGACCCTCAGTGGGTGGGGAGGAGCAGCTCCTGATGCCCCGTGAAGGAGGGAGTTCCTTAGGCTTGTTGCTTCTGGAAAGCCAGAATCTCAGCGGGTCACGAGTGGGTCTGCTCCAAGCTGTGGGCTCCCCCTGGGACCCCTCCCCAAAAGGGAGCATTGGAGTCAGGTGCATTTGCCTCCTGCACCCTGGATTTTTTCACACAGGCACGGAGGGGGGGGGGTTGCGGGGGAGGCTTGAAAGCAATCATTCAATGCCGAGAACCTGAGGGGACTGCAGCACGCCTTGAGGACTGGATCCTTCGGCTTTTCCAATTGTTAGAAAGCTGGTTGCTCCAGCTATTTCTGTGCCCCCTATTTTAAGGAGCAGGGTCTGGAGGCCCAGGGTGGCCTCTTCCAGGAGCGCCATGGGGGGCACAAAGGCTAGTGTGGCCACAACTGGTGCCAGGGGAGGCTGAGCATCTCATCGATCAGTACATGAATTCCCCCATTGATGGGCACAACCAAGCTTCGCCTTCTTTTCGGGTTGAGCTGGGGGGGCCTCTGACCACAGTCTCCGCCTCCCCCCTCTGCAGGCCGATGCTGATCGACATGAACAAGGTCTACCACCAGAGCAACGTGGAGAACCTGGATCAGGCCTTCACGGTGGCTGAACGTGACCTGAGCGTGACGCGCCTCCTGGACCCGGAAGGTACCAGGACGGGCTGCCCTGTGGGCAGGGTGGGGGCTCCTTTGGCAGGGGCAGCACAACACCCCATTCCCCCTTTCTCTTTCCCAGATGTGGATGTGCCTCAGCCGGATGAGAAATCCATCATCACCTACGTATCTTCCCTCTACGATGCCATGCCACGAGTGCCGGACGTGCAGGATGGGATCAAAGCCAACGTGAGCCTTGTGGGGGGTGGTGGAGAGGGGAGGCTGGCCAGTCTGGGGGCTCAGGGCGTGACCTCAACACTCACCATCTTTTCCCACATGCACACACCGCTTAGGAGCTGCAGCTGCGCTGGCAGGAATACTATGGCGTGGTCAGCCTGCTTCTGCAGTGGATCCAGCACCACACGGTGACCTTTGAGGAGAGGAAGTTCCCTGCCAGCTACGAGGAAATCGAGGTGAGAGTCCACCTGGGTCAACTCCTGCCTGGGCCACCTCCCTCTCTGGCTGGAGTGCAGTTTTCTTCTCTTGGGGGCAGGCTGGTCTTCCCTTCTGGGTTGGGGAGGCATCCCATGGTTTGGGGTGGGGGTGGTGGCAAAAGGACTCCCTGAACAGGCATGGGAATGTCCTTCTGTGCCCAGCTCTGCCCCCAGGAGGGTCACTGGCTACTTTGGCAAAGTGCTCTGGGGCCTCTCCTTGACCCACCCTGCCCCCCACCACCATTTCCCATCTCGCTCTCCCACAGATCCTGTGGCACCAGTTCCTGAAGTTCAAGGAGACGGAGTTGCCCGCCAAAGAGGCTGACAAGAGCCGCTCCAAAGTGATCTTCCAATCTCTGGAGGTAAACCCGAATTGCCCCCTTGCTTCCCTGGCGGGGCCTGAGGCCCTGGGCCTCCGGCAGGCTAGCCTGCTAGAGGGCGGGGTGGCCTTCCTGGGCCCGTCGTCAGCAGCTCCCATCTGCTTCCGGCTCCACTAGGCTGCTGTGCAAAGCGGGCAACTGAAGATCCCTCCCGGCTACCACCCACTGGACGGGGAGAAGGAGTGGGGCAAGCTGCACGTGGCCATCCTGGAGAGGGAGAAGCTTCTGCGCTCGGAGTTTGAGAGGCAAGCAGAAGTGCCTGGCAGAGCGCCTAGAGGGGAGCTGGGGGCGCAGGGACTGGAGTCGGGCACTTTCTGGGAAGGGAGCAGGGAGCCCAGCAGGCAGGCGGACAGCGGCTCCCTCCCAACCGCAGCAGCCCAGCCCAGCCCTAATGGGAAACACACGGCTGGTGACTCACCACCCGCCTCTCCCCTCCCCAGCTGTATTCCTCAGGAAACATCTGGGCGAGGGGACAGAGTGAGCCAAGGCAGCCTGGGACAGCTAGGCTGCCCTCCCTGGCACTGGAGGGGCCAGAGCTGAGCCCCAGTGGGTGGAGGTGCCAGCAGAGAATTGGCCAGGACCCTCCGTCATTTCCCTCCCGCTCCCCTCCTGCCTTCCTAGGTTGGAACGTCTGCAGCGCATCGTCAGCAAACTCCAGATGGAGTCTGGCCTCTGCGAGGAGCAGCTCAACCAGGCGGACACCCTGCTGCAGTCGGTGAGTGGCCGCTCTGCTCCAGATGAAGCCCCTGGACCCAGGACCAGGAGGGGGGGGGCGAGGCCTGGTGCTCTGCCAGGCTCATTGGTTCCCTTCCTGTAGGACATCCGGCTGCTGAACGCGGGCAAGGCGTCGCAGCACTTGGCGGAGATTGAGCGGGACCTGGACAAGGCCGAGGCCATGATCCGCTTGCTCTTCAACGACGTGCAAGCCCTTAAGGATGGGCGCCACCCCCAAGGCGAGCAGATGTATCGCAGGTCAGTAACGCTCCTCCCTGCCCTTTCCCCATGTGGGGGCCGTGGGAGAGTGGTGCTAGGGCCAAGGAGCAAACACCTTTAGGGGCTTAGGACCCACCTGGAAGGGAGCCTCTGTCCCTCACTGACCAGCCAGTGTTGTGTGCACTGCCCTCTGGTGGTGGTAACTGCCCACTGCAATTTGCAACCTCTGCAGGAGCAGCTGCAGCCGCCCTCCTTGGGCCTGGAAGGGGGAGCTCTGGCTGCCGTCCTCCCTGCGGGGATCCCCATCTATAGCACCACATTCCCTTCTCCCCTGCAGGGTTTACCGCTTGCACGAGCGCCTTGTGGCCATCCGCACTGAGTACAACTTGCGCCTGAAATCTGGGATAGTCCAAGTGTCCGTGCCAGTCACACAGCGCCCGCGGCCAGATATGGATGATGTCACCCTGCGCTACCTGCAGGATCTGCTGGCCTGGGTGGAAGAGAACCAGGCCCGCCTCAATGCAGCCGAGTGGGGCGTGGACCTGCCCACGGTGGAGTCACAGCTTGGCAGCCACCGCGGACTGCACCGCTCCATCGAGGAGTTCCGCCCCAAGATTGAGCGAGCCCGGGCGGACGAGGTAGGCAGGGGGCAGGGGATGTCAGGCCTGGGGGTCCGAGAATGCCAGCCTCCTAGCAGGGCTTGCCGAAGGAGAGGCTCCCGTGTCTGCATAGTGGTAGTTTCACGGTTCTCCTTTGCCCACCGCAGGCCCAGCTCTCTCCTGGTCCGCAGACCTCATACCGGGACTACCTCAGCAAGCTGGACGTGCAGTACGAGAAGCTGCTGGTGAGCAGATGGCCGGGGGACGGTCGGGCAACAGAGGGGGCGCAGGCAGAGACCTTGCTTCTCTCCCGTGGGGATGCAGTGGCATTGGGCGCCCCGGCACTCTTTGCCCCGGTCACTGTTCCTTCGCTGGCAGACAGGGTTCCTCTCCGTGCTGGGCTGAGCCGTTGTGACCTGTGTCTTGCAGAGCTTGTCCAAGGCCCGGCTGCGGCACCTTGAGAGCCTCCAGGCCTTCGTGGCTGCAGCCACCAAAGAGCTGATGTGGCTGAATGAGAAGGAGGAGGAGGAGGTGAACTACGACTGGAGTGAGCGCAACAGCAACATGGCTGCGAAGAAGGAGAGCTACTCGGTAAAAACCGCCCTCCCTCTGGCCCCGAGCGAGGAGCCCGGCTGCCAGGCCCCGGCTGACCCCTGGATCTGTGTCACTCTCTAGGGCCTGATGAGAGACCTGGAGCAGCGGGAGCGGCGCGTCAAGGAGATCCAGAGCACGGGCGACCGTCTGCTGCGGGAGGATCACCCAGCCAGGCAGACCGTGGAGGTGGGCGGGGTGGGGGAAGCACCAGCAGTCATGCCTGCATCACGAGGAGCCCTTGTCAGATGACCGCTCCCAGCCCTGACCCACTGCCCCCCCCAAGCAGACACTCCGGGGTGTGGGAGGGGCTCCCTGGCATCCCTCTGCTGGCTTCCCCACCCACTCTGCTCTGTTGCTCCCTGCAGGCCTTCCAGGCGGCCCTGCAGACCCAGTGGAGCTGGCTGCTGCAACTGTGCTGCTGCATCGAGGCTCATCTGAAGGAGAACAGCAGCTACTTCCAGGTAGTCCTGCAGGAAGGCCGGGGGGGGGGAGGTATGCAGCCTCCAAGCAGAAAAGCAGAACTCTGATGGGGACCGGCTGGCCTTCGTCCCTCTGGCTCCCTCTGGCAATGCTGTGGAGATGACAGAACCCCAGAGGACTCTGCATCGTTCACCATCCTCTTCCTCCCCCTTCCCCCAGTTCTTTTCTGACGTGAAGGAAGCGGAGGAGTTTCTATGCAAGGCTCAGGAGACGATGAAGAAGAAGTTCACCTGCGACCGGTCCATCACAGTGACCCGCTTAGAGGACCTGCTGCAGGACTCCCTGGTGAGGGTGGGACTGGCCCCCTCCCCTGGCCCCAGCCGCCTCCTTTCCCTTCCACTTACCCCGGCTACTTCCTGCCTCCCACCCCCGCTTCAGGAGGAGAAGGACCATCTCACACAGTACCAGAGTCACCTGGCGGGGCTGGCCAATCGGGCCAAGACCATTGTCCAGCTGAAGCCCCGCAGCGCAAGCCCCCCTCTCAGGGGACGGCTGCCCCTCCAGGCGGTCTGCGACTACAAGCAAGTGGAGGTGAGTGAGGAGGGAGGCTGTGTACGGGGCGGGGGCGGGGCTGCCTTTGGGCTGCCTCTGCTGAGCTGCCCCCCCTTTCCGCCCGCAGATCACGGTGCACAAGGGAGATCACTGCACCCTCCTGAGCAACGCCCAGCCCTACAAGTGGAAGGTTTTGAATGCAGCTGGGAAGGAGTCCCTCACCCCCTCCATCTGTTTCCTCATCCCCCCACCCAACAAGGAGGCCCTGGAGGCTGTTGGGAGGTACGTGGTCCTCCCCTGGGCCCTGGGCCAGCAGTAGAGGCTCCCCCCCCCTTCTTCAGCAGGCCATCGCGCTCACCTTGGGCCCCCGGCTCTGGGCCCCCCCCGGCGGAAGCTGCACGCCAGGCTTTTGCCCCCTCCCTGGCATGAAGGAAGGCAGCTCTGACTTCCGCCTCCCCTCCCCCCGGGTGTCCCTTTAGGCTGGAGACGGTGCACCAGAAGCTGCTCGGCACTTGGCACCAGCTGCACATCAACATGAAGAGCCTGCTCTCCTGGCAGTACCTGCAGCGGGAGATCCAGCAGATCCAGTCCTGGTCCCTCCTCATTGTGAGATCCAGATCCTCTCCCCTCCCCCTCTCCCCAGTCCAGCAGCAGACCCCCCTGGAATGGTCTGCAGGGCCCGCCCTCCCCAGACCTGGCCCCGTGGGTCGGGGTTCCTTGGGCTGGCTGGGGAGGATGAGCAGGAGTCACCCGGGGGGGGGGAACTGGTAGTAGAGGATGATGCCCCCTCTTGGGTAGAGAGCAAAAGCCTGGCGGGGCCCTGTTCTTTATCCTTCTTTGGGGTCCTTCTGAGGGGCCCTTCCTAACTATTGATCCAAACAGTGTCCAAGAAAGTGGAAGCCCCTCCAGGAGGCTGGGGCCCCAGGGCCCCCCCAGTCCCCAACCAATGGAGCCCCCACCAGTAAGGCCATGTGCAGACTGGGGGGTCTGGGTGGGGGTGCGCTTCCCAGGAGAGGGGAAGAGTGGGCACTCAGTCTGAAGGGTGGGTGAGTTGTAGGCAAGGGGGCCGTAGACAGCTTAGCCAAGGATCCACTCCTTTGAATCACGCTGGGGGCAGTACAGTTAGTGGAGAGGGCCCAGCTGCCTCAGCCCCAGGGGCCTGCAGGGGCCTGTGCGCTGCCCCATCCAGGCATCTCCGAAGCAGCCCAGGTAGAGCTCAGGATGCCACACAGGTCAGCAGCTGCATCCTTGCCAGCCCTTGGAGCCTCCTGAGCATCATTGCTTGGTGCGGGCCGAGGGACGCCAGGCAGCGCTACCCATGTGTCAAGGAGGGTATAGCTCTGCCCGGGGTGCCCCTTGCAGAGAGGGCTGTGTTAAATGTCGGCCCCGCCCCCTTTTGGGGCACTGGGGCTGGCCAGCTCAGAGGTTGCCTTGGGGAGATCTTTTTTTTTTTTTAATTGAAAAGTTTTACAAAAATTACAAAATATACCCCAAACCCACCGCCCCTTCCCCCCCTCCCCCTTCCCCCACTTCCCAGAGCTGAATACAGGGTAACAAATATAATAATCATAATCTAACTAACATTAACCAACTATGTAGATAAACAAGTATAATGCACTTTAACTCTCTTTTAACACAGGATAAACAATTTACAAATGAACTTTATCATATAATCAAATTAAAATCCCAATTTATAAACAATACAATATAATAATAATTCCACTAAACTATTAATAATACTAATAATAGCAATAATAATATTCAATAATTTATTCATAAAATAAATGGAACTTTTTAGTCCCATATTTATTCTGAATATAATCTATCCATCTTCTCCAAACCAAAATGTATCTTTATTGTGAATAATCCTTCAAATAAGCAGAAATCTTAGCTATTTCTGCTAAATTTGACACTTTAAGCGTCCATTCTTCTATAGTAGGCAAACAATCCTCCTTCCAATATTGCCCTACCAACAGCCTTGCTGCTGTTATTAAATTCAACATCAAATTAGTTTCCTTAACATCAATATCTACGATAATACCCAACAAAAATAATTGAGGAGTAAACTTTATCTTTCTTTTTAAAATATTCTGAATAATCCACCAAATTTTAATCCAAAAAGCTTTTACATTTCTACAAGTCCACTAAATATGAAAATAAGTTGCATCCAAACTACCACATCTCCAACATTAGGGCTGCAAGTTAGGATACATACAAGACAGCTTTTGAGGATCCAAATGCCACCTATAAAACATTTTATAAAAGTTTTCTCTTAAATTTTGAGCTTGAGTAAATTTTACGTTTCTAACCCAAGTTGTCTCCCATGTATCCAATAGAATCGGCTCTTGAATATTTTGTGCCCATTTTACCATACAATCTTTAACTAATTCCGTTTCAGAATCCAATTCTATTAAGACATTATAAATTCTCTTTATATGAGCTAGAGTTTGATCTTTAATCTGTTTTATCAAATTCGCATCCTCTAAAGTAATGCCAACCTTTTGATCTAAACTCCACCTAACTAACAATTGATTATATTGAAACCAAGAGTGTACAATATTTTCTTGCTTCAACTCAGCTAAAGATTTTAATTGCCAATCCTTCCCTACCAAATCAAGTCATTCCTTATAAGAAATCCTATCCAAATTCACTCCTCTAGTTACCCCCTCTATCACGTGTCCGGGAATCCCCCAAATTGGAATTTTATAATTTAACCTATAACCCTGGGGAGATCTTGAGGGGCTAACCTCAGCTGGCTTGGCTGGGGTTGTCTTGGGCTCCCTCGACAAGGCGTGTCCTTCGCAGTTTCGGACGATGCCCCCCGAGGATTACCGGCAGACGCTGCGCAGCCTGGAGACCCACTACCAGGAGTTCCTGCGCAACAGCCAGGACTCCCAGAACTTCCATCCGGACGACCGGCTGCAGGCGGAGCGCGATTACACTGTCTGCACCCAGAAATATGAGCTGCTGCTGCGCGGGCTGGAGAAAGGTAAGGCCCGGGGTCCTTTGCGGGCCGTGGCCCCTGGCCAACCTGGGGTCTGCGCTTTGATTTCAGGCTGGGCCTCTCCCTTAGACAGGCTCCCTGGGTGGCCTTGGCAGCCCATCCCTGCCCCCTCTCGACCGACCACAGCCAGGAGCAGTACTGGTGTCCATTAATCCCAGGCTTGGTTTGGGGGGGCGGCAGGGGAACAGGAGGAGTCGCTGTGCAGGAACTTCATCTCCCAGCTGAAGGACATCCGCCTGCAGCTTGAAGGCTGCGAGTCCCGCACCATACACAAAATTCGTTCTCCGCTTGACCAAGATCCCGTTAAGGAATGTGCGCAGCGCATCAGTGACCAGCAGGTATGGCTTCCCTTTGCACGGAGATCAGTTCACCTGCAGAAGCTGATTGTCTGTCCTGGGATCTCCTCCAGGGCACAGGAGACTCTTCTCCTGCCCCAGACCCAGTCTAGGGAGGGGAAAGGAGCCCCGACTGCCCGGGAGAGGCACTGGAGAGGCTCCAGTGCTCTGGCCACGGAGATACTTCCTACCTTCCCATCTTGAATCCGGGACAGGGACATTCTCCCTTGCCCGGGAGAAGGGTTGAGGTCTGTACTCCGGGCTTCTTGGCCTGGGTCCCTGAGGTCACTCCCCTCCCCTCCCCTCAGGAGATCCACCTGGAGCTGGAAAACATCCAGAAGAGCTTGGGCAAAGTGAGCGCCCAGACGGAGAAGGTCCTGGCTCAGCCAGAGCAGGCCGGTTCGGCCCCCCTGCTGCACTCGGAGCTGGATATCACGCTGCAGAAGATGGGCCAGGTGTACAGCCTCTCCAGCATTTTCTTGGAGAAGTAGGTGGCTCTTCGCTCCGGCCCGATCCTGCCTGGCTGTGGGGACAGAGGGGGCGGGGAGGAGGATGGGCGTTGGGTTTGGCCACCCTTGTTCTTATTATAAACTCAGCAGCAGCAGCGACTCTGAAATCCTAGCTGGGGAATCGGGTCGTCCTAGAGACGCTCTGACCCAGCTCCTTGCCTTCCAGAGGCCCCCTCAGCTTTCATGTCCTCGCGGGGCGACTCCTTCGGCCACCCCAGCCCTCTGCTCAGTGCGATCGTTGTGTCGGCAGCTTGTTCCCTTCGGCTCTTTGTGTGTCTCACAGCGAAGGGGCTTTGCAGTCAGAGCCCTCCAGGCTAGAGATGCTCTTTCTGGCTCTCAACATCCCTTTGACATCCAGCTAACTCCGTTTTCAGTTTTTGAAGATTTTCAAATGGCTATTTTTATGCTCCTGCTCCCCGCTTTGTTTTTTAAAGATGATGTGGGCTAATTTGTAGATGCTTTGGAGACTAAAGTTTGCTTAGAGAACTTCGGTTTATAGCAACTTCCAAATACCTGGTGTAACTTGCACCCCAGATAACACAATAGCAGAGTTGGGAGGGATCTTGGAGGTCTTCAAGTCCAACCTCCTGCTTAAGCAGGAGACCCTAGACCATTTCAGACAAGTGGCTGTCTAGTCTGTGTGTGTTGGAGCACCCACAACTTCTGGAGGCAAGCTGTTCCAATGATTCATTGTTCTGTCAGGAATTTCACTCAGTTTCCATTCCTTGTTTCTTGTCTTGCCTTCCAATGCTTTGGAAAATAGGTGGAACCCCCCCCCCACCCCCAATCTGCTATCATGTCCCCCCTAGTCCTTTTCTCTAGACTGGCCATACCCAATACCTGCAACCGTTCTTCATATGTTTTAGCCTTCAGCTCTTCTCTGCAGTTTTTCCAGAGTCTCAACATCTTTTTTATAATGTGGTGACCAAAACTGGATGCAGGATTCCAAGTGTGGCTTTATTAAAGCTTTATAAAGTGGTACTAGTATTTAACATGATCTTGATTCTATCCCTCTGTTAATGCAACCTAGGATTGCATTGGCTTTTTTGGCTGCTGCCACACACTCCTGGCTCATGTTTAGGTGATTGTCCACTAGGACTCTGAGATCCCTCTCACAGTTAGTGCGATTGAGCCAGGTTACATCTAACCTGTACCCGTATGTTTGTTTTTTCTTGCCTAAGTATAACATCTTATTTTTCTCTACGTTGAGTTTCATTGCGTTGAATGGGCAACCTTGTCCAGCTGCTGTGTTTGAGCTGATCCACCTCTCCTGCAGGTTGAAGACCATCCACCTGGTCATCCGTAGCACCCAAGGGGCTGAGCAGCTGGTCCAGAGCTACGAAGAGCAGCTCAAAGATGTCCAGGCTGTGCCGTCTGACCTCAAGGTTGTTGAGGCTACCAAGGCAGAGCTCAAGGTGACCGGCCAGACCCACATCTGCCAGGGGGAGAGACCACTGGGCCGCCTGATCAGGGAGGGCTGTGGCTGGGAAGAGCTCGTACGACCCTGACCCCCACCCACCCTCCCTCTGTCTTTGTCCTGCAGAGGCTGCGTGGGCAGGTCGAAGGGCACCAGCCAGTCTTTAGTGCCCTGGAAGCGGAACTGGCCAAGGCCAATGAGGTGAACGAGAGGATGGTGAGAGGCCACAGCGAGAGGGACCTGGACTTGGATCGCTACCGGGATCGCGTGCGGCAGCTGCTCGACCGCTGGCAGGCTGTCCTGGCCCAGATCGATCTGCGGCAGCGGGAACTGGACCAGCTGGGGCGCCAGCTGCGCTACTACCGCAACAGCTATAGTTGGCTGATGGAGTGGATCCAGGATGCCCGCCAGCGCCAGGAGGGCCTCCAGGCCGTGCCCATCACCAGCAGTCAGCAGGTGCGGGAGCAGCTGCTGCAAGAGAAGGTAAGGCTGGCCGAGGGGAGACTGGGCCCGGCTGGGGCGAGGCCCTTGAAGCCCAGTAGCGGGAGGGCTGGCAGGGCTGAGAGGAGGCCTCCGGGGTAGGGGTGGTTAGTCCCCTGAGATCAGGCCTGGGCAAAGGGAGGGGGCTCTTGAATGCAACCCACAAAGAGATGTTAGTAATTGTATACAGCTGAAAAATGCAGGCCATTGAGTTTAGAAGGGGGAGCAAATGGGCCTTTCCAATCATCGGGTTTCCTTGGACACTGGCAGGGGTCCGGTTCAAAGACCCCTTTGGCCAATAGTGTGAAGCCCCTCTGCCACTTCCTCTGAGGCTCCTCTGCTAGAATCTCCTCTTCCGGAGCTGTGGGGCCTCCCTGTGCTGTTGGCCTTGTGGGGGGGGGAGCGAGGGGTGGTGCGCTTACTCCTTCTGCCTCTCCTTCCCCAGAAACTCCTGGAAGAGTGTGAGCAAAACTGGGAGAAGGTGGAGGAGTGCCACCGCCTGGCCAAGCAGTACATTGATGCCATCAAGGTATGTGGGGAAGAGGTGGGCCTGCTTGAGGGGCTGGCTCTGCAGGCTGGGGTCCCCCGCCTGGGCTCAGGGGGCTCCAGCAGCAGGCCAACCCCTCTTTCCTTCGAAGGATTATGAACTTCAGCTGGTCACGTACAAAGCCCAGGTGGAGCCCGTCTCTTCTCCTGCCAAGAAGCCCAAAGTGCAGTCTGCCTCGGACAGCATCATCCAGGAGGTGAGGGGTTGTCCCTGGGCAGGGCTGGCGGGGGGAGGGTGCCAGGAGTGGGGACAGAGGTTCCAGAAGGAAAGCCTGATGAGAAGAAAGGGGTACCTGATGGGGAGGAGGACCCTGCTGGGCGCTCTTGGCCAGAGCTGGGGGGTCTTGCTTCTGGGGTGGCAGTGGCAGCTTCCCTTGAGACCAGGGTGCTGCAGAGAGCTGCTGCGCTCCTTCCAGGTGTCCCCGCCTGGGACTTTGCCCACGGCTTCCGAAGGGCTTCTGAAGGTGTTCCTCTGCTTGGGAGGAACAGGCCATCAGGGCTGATCTGAGCCCCCTCCCTCCCTCCCCCCCTTTGGCCTTGCAGTATGTTGACCTGCGGACTCAGTATAGCGAGCTGACCACGCTGACCAGCCAGTACATCAGGTTCATTACAGAGACTCTTCGACGGCTGGAGGAGGAAGAGGTAAGGGATCCGGAGTGGGCCCAGCATGGCTTGGCTGCTTCTGGATGGGCTGGGGGCGGGGCTGCTCCCTCCCAACTGGCTGTTCCTCTTCCCTGTCCCTCCCCTGGGCAGTTCGTGGCCCCACGCGGGAGCCTCATGCATGGGCCTATTCGCCCTGCAGGAAAAAGCTGTGCTTCCCAGATTGCTATGCCTGCTCCTCCTCCTCCTCCTCCTCCTACTCTGTCTGGGGCTGCTTCTGGAGCTCCCTCCCTGCCCCTCTTTTCCTCGGATTTGCTGTGGTCTCCTCCCTTTCTAACTCTAGCTTCTTTGCCTGGGCTTGCTTGGGGCAGGTTGGTGCTGGTGGGGCTTTAAGGAAGGGTTGACCTCCAGAGGAGGGGGCTGCAGCAGCTTTTGTACCAGGTACTCCTTCTGAGGAAGGGAGAGGAGGACCCTCTGGGTGAGAGGGGAGGGTCTGGAAAAGGAGGAGGGGGCAAAGGGGGAGGTCTTCTGCTGGGTCACCTTGATCTGTTGGCTTGCAAGGTCTCTCACCCAATTGGTGTGCTGCCTGGCCTGGATGTGTGTGAACGGTCACCTGCCTCCCCTACAATCTCCTAGGAAGGGCTTGGAAGACAAATGCTGGCCTTGTGTGCTGAGAATGGGGGAGGGGGAGAGGAGCCTAGTGAGACAGCACAGTCCCCACTGTCGCGCTTGTTGCCCTCACATGCCCCTAGGCTGGATCTCCCCCAACCCCTAAGCTTTCGGACTCCTGGTCTGCTGGACATTCTGCTGCGTGGTGGCAGCACATTGCGCATGGTGGAGGTGTGCTCTTGTGCCTTTGTGGTCTTGGGTTTGCTTGTCTCTGGTGCCCATCAGTCCGTTGGTGCTTCCATCCTTTTTGTGGATGTGCCTGCTTCATTGCCTGCTGCCCTAAGCAAGAGCCCCTTGCCCCCACCCTGAAGCCTGCCCCCCATCTGCTCTTGTGATATTTCTCTCTCTCCACCCCCTTCCTCTCTGCCCCCTCCCCATAGAAAGCAGCAGAGCAGCTGAAGGAGGCAGAGCGAAAGCGCTTGGCGGAGGTGGAGGCCCAGCTGCAGAAGCAGAAGCAGCTGGCCGAGGCCCATGCCAAGGCCAAGGCTCAGGCTGAGGAGGAGGCCCGGGAGCTGCAGCAGCGCATGCAGGAGGAAGTCAGCCGGCGGCAACTGGCAGCCATAGATGCTGAGCAGCAGAAGCAGAACATCCAGGAGGAGCTGCTGCAGATGAAGCTCAGCTCCGATAGGCAGATTGTGGCCAAGCAGAAGCTGATTGAAGAGGTGGAGATCAGTCACAGGAAAGTGGAAGAGGAGATCCACATCATTCGCTTGCAGCTGGAGGCCACGCAGAAGCAGAAGGCCGGGGCAGAAGGGGAGCTGCAGGCCCTGAGGGCCCGGGCGGAGGAAGCCGAGCGCCAGAAGAAAGCTGCCCAGGAAGACGCTGAGCGCCTGCGCAGGCAGGTCAAAGACGAGGCCCAGAAGAAGCGGGAGGCGGAGGAGCAGCTGCAGGAGAAGGTGCAGGCAGAGCAGCGAGCGGCGCGGGAGAAGCAGAAGGCCTTGCAGGACCTGCAGCAGCTCCGTGCGCAGGCCGAGGAAGCTGAGCGCCAGATGAAGCAGGCAGAGCTAGAGAAGGAACGGCAGATCCAGGTCGCACGGGAGGCAGCCCAGAAGAGCGCTGAGGCAGACCTGCAGAGCCGGCGCCTCTCCTTCGCCGAGAAGACGGCCCAGCTGGAACTGACCCTGAAGCAGGAGCATGTCACCCTCACATATCTCCAGGAGGAGGCCGAGCGCCTGAGGACACAGCAGCTGGAAGCTGAGCGGGCCAAGGAGGAGGCTGAGAAGGAGCTGGAGAAGTGGCAGCAGAAGGCCAATGAGGCGCTCCGGCTGCGGCTGCAGGCGGAGGAGGTAGCACACAAGAAGTCCCTGGCCCAGGAGGAGGCGGAGAAGCAGAAGGAGGATGCCGAGCGCGAGACCCGGAAGCGAAGCAAGGCAGAGGAATCAGCCCTGCGCCAGAAGGAGCTGGCCGAGGAGGAGCTGGAAAAGCAGCGCAAACTGGCTGAGGGCACAGCCCAGCAGAAGTTCTTGGCTGAGCAGGAGCTGATCCGCCTGAAGTCGGAGATGGAGAATGGGGAGCAGCAGCGGCTGCTGCTGGAGGAAGAGCTCTTCCGCCTCAAGAGTGAGGTCAGCGAGGCTGTCCACAAGCGGAGGGAGCTGGAGGAGGAGCTGGCCAAACTGCGGGCTGAAATGGAACTCCTGCTGAAAAGCAAGGCCAGGACCGAGGAGGAGTCGCGTTCTGCCAGCGAGAAGTCCAAGCAGATCTTGGAGGATGAGGCCGCCAAGTTGCGGGAGGTGGCAGAGGAGGCGGGTCGCCTGCGTGCCCTCTCTGAGGAAGCCAAGAGGCAGCGGCAGCTGGCTGAGGAGGAGGCTGCCCGGCAGCGAGCAGAGGCCGAGCGGATACTCAAAGAGAAACTGGCAGCTATCAACGAGGCGTCACGCCTCAAGGCGGAAGCCGAAATTTCCCTGAAGGAGAAAGAGGCTGAGAACGAGCGGCTGAGGCGGCTAGCAGAGGATGAGGCTTATCAGCGGAGGGTTCTGGAGGAGCAGGCGGCTCAACACAAGCACGACATCGAGGAGAAGATTGTGCAGCTGAAGAAGTCATCCGAGAGTGAGCTGGAAAGGCAGAAGACCGTTGTCAATGAAACCTTGAAGCAGCGGCGCATCATTGAGGAGGAAATTCGCATTCTCAAGATCAACTTTGAGAAAGCCTCTGTGGGCAAGGCAGATCTGGAGCTGGAGCTCGGCAAAATCAGGCAGAATGCGGAGGAGATTCAGCGGAGCAAAGAGCTAGCAGAGCAGGAGGGTGAGAAGCTGCGGCAGGCAGCCCTGGAAGAGGAGAACCGCCGCAAAGAGGCTGAAGCGAAGCTGCAGAAGACTCTGGCTGCTGAGCAGGAAGCCGCCAGACAGCGCAAAGCCGCTCTGGAGGAGGTGGAGCGCCTGAAGGCCAAGGTGGAGGAGGCCAAGAGGCAGAAGAAGCTGGCAGAAAGTGAGTCAGAGAAGCAGATCCTGCTGGCCCAGGAGGCGGCCCAGAAGAAGATGGTTGCTGAAGAGGCCGCTCACCTGGCCGTGGTGCGCCAGAAGGAGGAGGAGTTGCTGCAGACCAGACAGCAGGAGAAGTCCATCCTGGACAGGCTGAAGGAGGAGGCTGAAAGAGCCAAGAGAGCAGCAGAGGAAGCAGAGTTTGCCCGCCTCAGGGCAGAGCAAGAGGCCACTTTATCCCGGCAGCTGGTGGACGAGGCTGAGCGCATGAAGCAGCGAGCTGAGGAGGAGGCCCAGGTCAAAGCCAGGGCCCAGGAGGATGCAGAGAAGCTCCGCAAAGAGGCAGAGCTGGAGGCGGCCAGGCGAGCCCAGGCAGAACAGGCAGCCCTCAAGCAGAAGCAGCTGGCTGACATGGAGATGGAGAAGCACAAAAAGTTTGCGGAGCAGACACTGCGGCAAAAGGCCCAGGTGGAGCAGGAGCTGACCAAGGTCAAACTGCGGCTGGAGGAGACAGACCATCAGAAGAGCCTCTTGGAGGAGGAGCAGCAGCGACTGAAGGAGGAGGTGACGGAAGCCATGAAGCAGAAGGTCCAAGTAGAGGAGGAGCTGTTCAAGGTGAAGGTCCAAATGGAGGAGCTGATCAAGTTGAAAATCCGCATTGAGGAGGAGAACAAGTTGCTCATCATAAAGGACAAGGACAACATGCAGAAGATCCTCACCGAGGAAGCCGAGAAGATGAAGCAGGTGGCAGAGGAAGCTGCCCGGCTCAGCGTGGAAGTCCAGGAGGCTGCCCGCATGCGCAAGCTAGCAGAGGAGGATCTGGCCCAGCAGCGGGCTCTGGCGGAAAAGATCCTGAGGGAGAAGATGCAGGCCATCCAGGAAGCCACTCAGTTGAAGGCCGAGGCTGAGCTGCTGCAGAAGCAGAAGGATCTGGCTCAGGAGCACGCCCGGAAGCTGCAGGAGGACAAGGAGCAGATCCGGCTGCGGCTGGAGGAGGAGACAGAGGGCTTCCAGAAGACGCTGGAGGCTGAGCGCAAGCGGCAGCTGGAGATCACTGCCGAGGCTGAGCGGCTGAAGCTGCAAGTTACGGAGATGAGCCTGGCCCAGGCAAAGGCAGAGGAAGAGGCCAGGCGGTTCAGGAAGCAGGCCGAAGAGATCAGCGGGAAGCTGCACCAGATGGAGCTGTCTACTCAAGAGAAGGTGACCCTGGTGCAGACCCTGGAGATCCAGAGGCAGCAAAGCGATCAAGACGCTGGCAGGCTGAGGAAGGCTATTGCTGAGCTGGAGGTGGAGAAAGAGAAGCTGAAGCTGGAAGCCCAGCTGCTGCAGCAGAAGGCGGAAGAGGTACCTGCTCTGGTTGTGACTCCCCACCCTACCCCCAGGTTGAGCAATGCCCATCAGCCCCAGTCAGACAATTAGTCCACAGCCCTCTGTCTGAGGTGGCCTCATGCAGGAGAGAGAGGTGCCACTCCACGGGGTGGATACAGTGCAGTGGATCAGGTCCCCGCCACAAGAGCCTGGCCTGCTGCAGGATTCAGGCTGTGTGTTTGTGTGAGCATCGACTGGTCTCTCCCAATGGCCTGAGGGGGAGGAAAGGGAGGAGATGTTCTTGCTTCCCTGGTAGGGTTCAGAAGACATTCCCTGCTGGTTGCAGGTCTGTACTGATGACGAAGTGCCATCTGCTTATTAGATGACCGTTGTGGTAAGTTGTATTTTAGGAAGTGACTGGTTATGTAGTCCCACAGCCAAGACGGCTCATCATTTCAGCTGCGAATTCTCTTTGCATCAAGGAAGCAGAGGAGAACATTAAGCGCATAGATTTTGTGTACTGTTGAATAGCCACAGAGGCTATTCTGGAGTCTCCTGGTTCCAACAACTGCTTCTTACTGTTTCTGTCAAAGTCTGTTTGAATTTTGGCAAAACTGGGAATGGCAACTGAGAAGAGGGTGGGCAAGGAAGGCAGCTGGGGGAGGGGAGTGTTGACCCATCAACGGGCGATGGCCTCCTGGGACTGGTCTGGTGAGGCCCCCGTGGGATCCCTTTGGAGGGTTCCTTGGGGAGGACTTCCAAAGATCTCTGCCACAAGTGGTGCCTCCCCCTGAGCAAATGTGGTAGAGCTCTCTTTCAAGTGTGGAAGGTGACTCCATGCAGGCGGCAGCGGCTGGCCAAGTAAGGGTTGTTCAAAGGTGCAGAGGGATTTTTTGTTCAGAGGCTTTAAACTGAAGGGTTTCTATGAATTGGTGATGGGTTTCAGAACAAGTCGCCCAACCCACTCCCCATTTCACTAATTTTCTCCTCTGGGAAAGCTCCTTTCGTGCTCAGTCAATAGAAAATCCCTCTGACACCGAGGCCCATTCAGAAGGAACAGGGCAGTGTTTCCTAAAACAAAACGAAAACTGCCCCATCTCCCTGTCTTCTGATTCCTTGATGTTGGTATGACAGGTAGTTCCTGATGACTTCTTTCCTTTTGTAGTGGCCCAACAGGATGCCTGTTGGACACGCAACCACTGACAGCTGTCTTTTAGATGACACCCCCCCTTACTCTCTCTCCTGCTTTAACATCTGGTTGATACACTTTGTTTTCTTCCCAATCCAGATGCAGACTGCTCAGAAGGAACAGCTCCGCCAAGAGACACAGTTGCTCCAGCAGACCTTCCTGTCAGAGAAGGACACCCTCTTGCAGAAGGAGAGGTTTGTGGAGGAGGAGAAGGCCAAGCTGGAGAGCCTCTTTCAGCAGGAGATTAAGAAAGCTCAAAGCCTGAAGGCTGAGCAGGAACATCAGCAGAAGCAGATGGAGCAGGAGAAGGAGCAGCTGGAAGCCACCTTGAGGGATGCCCGGGAAAAGCAGGCAGAAGCAGAGAAGAGTGTCCGTCGCAAGCAGGAGGAGCTCCAGCAGTTGGAGAAGCAGCGTCAGCAGCAGGAGAAGCTTCTGGCTGAGGAAAACCAAAAGCTCCGGGAGAAACTGAGGCAGCTGCAGGAGGAGCAACAGGCTGCTCTGGCTCAGACCCGAGAAATCATGATCCAGACCGATGACCTTCCTCAGGAGGCAGTCGTGTCTGCAGTAACAGCTCTGCCTAATGGTCAAGACATGCTCGACGGTGTCTCTCAAAATGGTGAACCTGAGTTGGCATTTGATGGCATCCGACAGAAGGTACCTGCCAAGAAGCTGGCAGAGGCTGGCATCCTGAGCCCAGAAACCTGGGAGAATCTGGTGCACGGGAGAGTGTCCGTGCAGGAGGTGTCCCAGATGGAGGAGATCAGGAAGTACCTGCAGGGCAGCAACAGTAGCATCGCGGGGCTCCTGATCAAGCCCACCAATGAGAAAATGAGCATCTACCAGGCCATGAAGCAGCAGATCCTCAGTCCAGGCACGGCCCTCATCTTGCTGGAAGCTCAGGCGGCCTCTGGCTTCATGATAGACCCCATGAGGAACAAGAGGATCTCTGTCAGTGAGGCGGTAAAGGAAGGCGTGGTTGGGCCTGAGCTGCACAATAAATTGCTGTCTGCAGAGAGGGCGGTGACTGGATACAAGGACCCCTACACAGGTGAAAAGATCTCCCTCTTCCAGGCAATGACCAAAGACCTCATTGTTAAAGACCATGGGATTCGGCTTCTGGAGGCCCAGATTGCCACCGGGGGCATCATCGACCCTGTCAATAGCCACCGCCTACCTGTGGACATCGCATTCAAGCGAGGCTATTTTGATCAGGAGATGCAACAGGTCCTCTCGGACCCCACAGATGACACCAAGGGTTTCTTTGACCCCAATACCCAGGAGAACCTTACTTACCTGCAGCTGATGGAAAGGTGCATGACTGACCCCGAGACCGGGCTAATCTTCCTGCCACTGACAGACAAAGCAGCCAGAGGACAGGAGCTGGTCTACACGGATCAAGAGGCCAAGGACATGTTCAGGAAAGCCACGGTCTCTGCTCCCTTTGGCAGATTCCGGGGAAAGACTGTCACCATCTGGGAAATCATCAATTCCGAGTATTTCACTGAGGAGCAGAAGCGGGAGCTCCTGCGTCAGTACAAGACTGGGAAGATCACGGTGGAGAAGATAATTAAGATCATAATTACTGTTGTTGAAGAGAGTGAGAAGAAGAGCCAACTCTGCTTTCAAGGCCTCCGGGCTGCAGTGCCGGCAGCTGAGTTGCTGGAGAGCAAAATCCTCAACAAAGAACTCTACAATCAGCTGCACCAAGGCAAGAAGACGGTGAAGGAGGTCACCAATATGGATGCCATAAAAACGTACCTGGAAGGTACTGGCACCATTGCGGGCATCTTGATAAAATCAACAGGCCAAAAGTTACTTCTTTCAGATGCAATGAAAAGAAACCTGTTGAAACCTGAGGCGGCCCTGATCCTTCTGGAGGCCCAGGCTGGAACTGGGCATATCGTTGATCCCGTGAGGAACGAGAAGCTTCCTGTGGATGAAGCAGTCCGAGCAGGAATGGTGGGGCCTGAGCTTCACGAGAAGCTGCTCTCTGCAGAGAGGGCTGTAACCGGCTATAAGGATCCCTACACAGGGCAGGTAGTCTCCGTTTTCCAAGCACTGAAGAAAGATCTCATTCCTAAGGACACCGGGCTCCGACTGTTAGATGCTCAGCTTGCCACTGGAGGCATCATTGATCCCGTGCACAGCCATCGCCTCCCACTTGAAGTTGCCTGCAAACAGGGCTACTTCAGTGAAGAAATGAACAAGGCCTTGTCAGATCCGGCTGACGAGGTCAAGCTGTACTATGACCCCAATGCTCAAGAAAACCTCACTTATGCTCAGCTGCTGAAGAGGTGCCAGGTGGATAAGCAGACAGGCCTCCACCTGCTCCATCTTTCGGATGAGGCCATACAGCGTCATCAGGAGGAGCTCTACTCAGATAGTGCCGTCAAAGAATCCTTTGATAAGTCAACAGTTGAAGTTCCCGCCGGCAGCCAAAAGGGCAAGACAGTGACAATCTGGGAGCTGATCCACTCAGAATATTTGACTGAAGAGCAGAGGAGAGAGCTGATACGGCAGTTCAAGACTGGCAAAGTCACCATTGAGAAGGTCATTAAGATAATTATTACAATTATTGAAGAGAGCGAGGTCAAGAAACAAGAAAAATTGACCTTCAGTGGCCTGCGAGCACCAGTGCCTGCTAGTGAACTGCTTGAGTCCAAGGTCCTCAGCAGGCAGCAGTATGAGCAGCTCAGAGAAGGGAAGAAGTCAGTGAAGGACATCGCTGAAGTGGATGCGGTGAAGAGGTACCTGAAGGGGAGCGACTGCATTGCTGGGATCTATGTGGAAGAAACCAAGGAGAAGCTGAACATCTACCAGGCACTGAGGAAGAACCTGCTCCTGCCCAGCACAGCAACTGTCCTCCTGGAGGCCCAGGCAGCCACTGGGTTTATAGTGGACCCAGTAAGGAATCAGAGGTTGCACGTCAACGAAGCAGTGAAAGCCGGCCTTGTGGGACCAGAGCTGCACGAAAAGCTGCTCTCTGCTGAGAAGGCTGTCACCGGCTACAGAGACCCTTATTCTGGGAACACCATCTCTCTCTTTGAGGCTATGAGAAAGGGGCTGATTGTCCGGGAGCATGCCATCCGCCTGATGGAGGCCCAGATTGCCACCGGGGGCATTATAGACCCCGTGCACAGCCACCGTGTTCCTGTGGAAGTGGCCTACAAGCGCGGCTACTTCGATGAAGAAATCAACCGAACTCTCTCAGATCCCTCAGATGATACCCAGGGCTTCATTGACCCCAACACCCAGGAGAATCTTACCTACTTGCAGCTGAAAGAGAGATGCATTGAGGACCCCGAGACTGGCCTATATCTCCTGCCTTTGAAGCAGCCTGAACGGCCAGCGGTCGTGGAGAGAACCCAAGTATACACTGAGGCCGAAACCAAGAAGATGTTTGAAGAAACACAAATTGACATTCCAGGAGGAGAGCTTGCTGGCTCCTCCATGTCCCTCTGGGAAATTATGAACTCTAATCTCCTCCCTGAAGAGCAACGTAAAAAACTAATGGAAGAGTTCCGTTTAGGCACCCTGACGAAGGAACGCATGATCATCATCATCATTGAGATTATAGAGAAAACGGAGATTGTCCGCCAGCAAGACTTCACCTCCTATGATTACATTAGGCACCGCATCACCGCTGAAGATCTCTATGAGGCCAGGATAATCTCTCTGGAGATATTCAATGCGCTGAAGCAGGGCTCCAAGACCATCCAAGAGATTCTGGAGATAGAGACCACCTGGAAATATCTTTATGGTACTGGCTGTATTGCTGGCATCTACATTCCATCTAGCAAGCAGAAGATCAGCATCTACCAGGCCCTCAGAAAGGGACTGATTAACCCTGAAGTTGCTCGAACCTTGCTGGAAGCCCAGGCTGCCACTGGCTTTATTATTGATCCCATGAAGAACGACAGACTTACAGTAGATGAGGCAGTGAGGAAAGGGGTGGTGGGCCCAGAAATGCATGATCGACTCCTATCTGCTGAAAGAGCTGTGACAGGCTACCGAGATCCTTACAGTGAGCAGAAAATTTCTCTCTTCCAGGCCATGAAGAAGGATCTCATTCCATCTGAAGAAGCCCTCAGATTGCTAGATGCCCAGTTGGCCACAGGAGGAATTATAGACCCATACCTGGGTTTTCACTTGCCCTTAGAAATTGCCTACCAACGTGGCTACTTCAATCTGGAGACCTTTGACAGGCTTTCTGAGCCCAGTGAGATCCGCAGCTACATAGACCCCTCCACAGATGAAAAGCTCAGCTATGCTCAGATCCTCAAGCGATGTAAGAAGGATGAGAATACAGGCTGCCTCCTCCTACCCCTCTGTGACACTCGGAAGCTGACTTTCAGGGGGCTGAGGAAGCAAATCACAGTGGAGGAGTTGGTACGATCAAAAGTCATGGATGAAGCCACTGCCCAGCGACTCCAGGAAGGCCTAACCTCAGTGGAGGAGGTCTCTAAAAAGTTGCAGCAATTCTTAGAGGGCACCAGCTGTATTGCTGGAGTCTACATGGACTCAACCAAGGAAAGGTTGTCTGTATATCAAGCTATGAAGAAAGGCATTCTCCGGCCAGGGACGGCTTTTGAGCTGCTGGAGGCCCAGGCGGCCACAGGGTACGTTATTGATCCCATCAAGGGACTCAAGCTGACTGTGGAGGAAGCAGTGCGCATGGGCATTGTTGGCCCGGAATTCAAAGACAAGTTACTTTCAGCCGAGCGGGCAGTGATAGGTTACAAGGACCCTTACTCTGGCAAGATAATATCCCTTTTCCAAGCCATGAAGAAAGGGTTGATCCTGAAAGATCATGGGATTCGTTTGCTAGAAGCTCAAATTGCTACAGGAGGTATTATTGATCCCGAGGAGAGCCATCGCTTGCCAGTTGAAGTGGCGTACAAGAGAGGCCTTTTTGACGAGGAAATGAATGAAATCCTCCTGGATCCAAGTGATGACACTAAGGGGTTCTTTGACCCAAACACTGAGGAAAACCTGACTTACCTGCAATTGATGGAAAGGTGCATCACTGACCCTGAGACTGGGCTGTGCCTCCTGCCCCTGAAAGAGAAGAAGCGGGAAAGGAAGACCTCATCCAAATCCTCTGTCCGCAAGCGCAGGGTGGTGATTGTGGATCCAGAGACCGGGAAGGAAATGTCTGTGTATGAAGCCTACCGCAAAGGCCTCATTGACCACCAGACCTACCTGGAACTCTCAGAACAAGAGTGTGAATGGGAGGAAATCACTATCTCCTCCTCTGATGGGGTGGTCAAGTCCATGATCATTGACCGGAGGTCAGGAAGGCAGTATGACATAGATGATGCCCTGGCCAAAGGCCTGATAGACCAGTCTGCCCTGGACCAGTATCGCTCAGGGACCTTGTCCATTACTGAGTTTGCAGACATGTTGTCTGGCAATGTAAGTGGATTCCGATCCAGATCGTCCTCTGTGGGCTCCTCCTCTTCCTATTCGGCAAGTCCTGCTCATGCAAGACCCCAGCTGACCTCCTGGAGTGATCCCGCTGAGGAGACTGGCCCGATTGCTGGCATCTTGGATACAGATACCCTGGAAAAAGTGTCCATTACGGAAGCCATGCACCGCAACCTGGTAGATAACATTACAGGCCAAAGGCTACTGGAGGCCCAGGCCTGCACAGGTGGGATCATTGATCCAAGTTCAGGGGAGAAGTTCCCTGTTGCAGATGCTGTTAATAAGAACCTGGTTGACAAGATCATGGTAGATAGAATCAACCTTGCTCAAAAGGCTTTCTATGGCTTTGAGGATCCAAGAACCAAGACCAAAATGTCTGCTGCCCAAGCCTTAAAGAAGGGCTGGCTGTACTATGAGGCCGGCCAGCGGTTCCTGGAAGTCCAGTACCTGACCGGTGGGCTGATTGAGCCAGAGGTGCCTGGACGGGTGTCGCTCGATGAGGCCTTGCAGAAGAACACTGTCGATGCGCGCACTGCCCAGAAGCTTCGGGATGTCAACACTTACTCCAAGTACTTGACCTGTCCCAAAACCAAGCTGAAAATCTCCTACAAGGACGCCATGGACAGGAGCATGATCGAAGAAGGGACGGGCCTCCGTCTCCTGGAAGCCTCCTCACAATCCAGCAAAGGCTATTACAGTCCTTACAACGTCAGTGGCTCCGGTTCCACCTCCGGCTCCCGGTCAGGTTCACGAACAGGTTCCAGACCAGGCTCCAGGCGAGGAAGTTTTGATGCCACTGGCTCCGGCTTCTCCGTCTCCTTCTCTTCCTCCTCCTACAGTTCATCAAATTATGGCCGCAGATACGCACCAGATCCCAGCAGCGGCAGCACAGATGCAGCTGACCTCTGTGGCACCCTGGCATATCCAAAGGGAAGTTGTGGGTGGAAAGGAAACTGTCCCCCTCTTGAACTGCCTGGAAAACAGCTGCCTGTGGCCTAAAGGGCCCTCCCTGCCCCTCTCCCTCCCTCCCACCCTCCCTCCCTCCCTCCCCATCCTTCCCAAGCCGAAATGACATGGCCTTCCTTTCGCTCTGCATGTGATCAAGTTACTGGCTAATTCTACCAATATTTTTATTACTACTACTACTGTTGCTCTTTTTTAAAAACACAGAGTTTCCTTCCAAAGCAGTGCCTAAACTTTAACCAAAAAGACTACACTAATATATTAATATATATGATGGTTCTGACAATATTTGTATATTGAGAGAGACAGAGATAGAGAATGCGGGTGCATCAGTGCTCCCCACGCCGCTTCATGCCCCCTGAAGCCTGCTCCTTTCCTTCCCAACCAGCCCTCGCCCATGCCAGGCCACTGCCACTGTTTGGCGCACCATTCTTTCAGCCACCCTCCTCCTCTTCACTTGTCCTTTCTGCGGTGCCTCCAGATCACCTGCCTATGCAAAGAATGTCTGTGCCTCTACAAGGACTGGCCGATGGGAGCATCTCCTGCCCATCTGCCCTCCCGGCTCCCTCCACCGTGGCCTGGGCTGCTCTCTTCTCTGGCCTTCCGTCATGGGCACAGGACTCTCCTGGGTGCTGCTCCACCAACTTCCTTGCTGGCCGACCTCCACAGCCAGGCGACTCTGCGCTTAGACCGTAAGTGCAGGGGGTCCTGCTACCCTGTTGCAAAGCTGCTGCCCCTCGGAAGAGCCCACCTGCCCACTGCTGCCGCTCCTCTCCTGGCTCTCCTCCCTGGCTGCCTCTGGTGCGCTCTGGCTCCGCAGACCCTGGCTCTCCTCTGGGCTCCGCTCTGTCCTCTCTTTCTGGGAAGCTTGGCAGGGTGGGGGGCACTGCATGAGGCTAGCAGTCTTGGCCGGGAAGCACCTTGGTCCAGATTGGCTTTGTGGGCGGTTGGGAGCACAGTTTGGGGGCCAGCCTTCAAACCCACATCTCTGGGGTGCTGTCCCTGCAAGCTGTAAGATCTCCAGGAGGTGGGACTGTGCTCCCCTTTCTACTTTCAGGAGGCAGTAGGCTCCTGTGTGGCATTCTGCCATGGCGGCATGGATCTGGGGTGGGTCTTTTGACCAGAAAGAGGCTATTGATACCCCACCCCTTGGATTTTGCTCCCCCTCGCCTGGCTGCCCATTCATAATGTCTGGTCTTTCTCTCAGACAGTTTCTTCTAGGCCCACCAAAGAAGATCCCTTGTCCCTGCGGGAACGTCCCGGTTGGTTCTCCGGAGCTAGCAAGTCTAACGTCGGCTCCCTGGAAGACCCGCATCGGTCTGCTCCTCAAGAGGTAACTGTGGCCCCAGGGCCCCTCCTGGGCTCCCCCCCCCGTTCTGTTTCTTTTGAGCTGGAGGTGAAACTCTGAAAGCCGTGAGGCTAAGAAGGAGGCCTGGCTGCAGGCAGTCGCACGTGCCCCACTGTCCCACCGCCTGCCAGGTTCCGGCCTGTGCTTCTTCCCTTCCGGCCTCCCCGGAGGAGTAGATGGAGAGGCAGCAGCCGGGTGGGGGTCCGCAGCATGTGGGTTAGGCTCATCCCCACTCCCCTGATGTGATAGCATCATCTCATTTGTGGTTTCTCCTGTCTCATCCCATCCTGTTTCTTTCTTGACTTTGTTTTAGTGTTGCTGGATGTCCTCCCAACTCCTTCCTGGCTACTGTGGAACTCGTGCCCCAGGTTGAGCCTCCCACCACTTCCCTTTGCAGCCCACCAGCGCGGACTAGTTAGCAGTGGCCAGGAGAGGGCAGCTCCCTAAGGCTGACCCCTCCGCCCAACACCAGCGAGCCACTCCTCTGCTCCTTGGTTGGGCCGGTTCTCTGCCCTGGAGTCCCAGGACTGTCCTGGCAAGGTCTGCCTGCCTGCTGGGCCCGGCTAGCAACCATCCTTGTGCTGTCGGCAGGAGGCTGGCCTGGAAATGCCGCAGCAGCCATGCTGAGAGCAGCCCCTGCCTGTCTCTGCCCCCTATCTTAGGGAGCCTCCGTTGCCCGGTCTCTGCAGCCAGCGGTCCCTCTCGAGGCGGAGCTGTTGCCAACCGAGAGGGGCCTTTTCACCAAGCGCCAGGGCCTTCCATGCACAGACATCTCCCCACCCCAGTTCCCCCTTCAGGTGGAAGAGGCAATCCTGCAGCAGCCCCTCCCCCCCAGCCCCATCAGCCCCCTCCCCAACAGCTTCTTATTTGCGTCTGGATCCAGCCATCCCATCCCTGGCATTTGTCTCTCGTCCTCATTGCCAGCTGCCATTTTGTTTTTGCATGCTGTGTTTACTTGGGGAAGCTCCTGTCCATTTCTCCTCCTCTCCCCCTCACCCCCCCCCCGCCCTGTGGCCTGCCGGGCAGCCTGTGCCCAGGGCTCACGTTGCTCCAGATTAGACTTTCCAGATTCCTCTCTATTGGGTGGGGGCAGGAAAACACTACACCCGACTTGTAAATAGCTTAAAGTGTTTGTAAAAACCTGCAGTACGGCCCCCTCGGCTGGGAGAGCAGTAAAGGTGATTTAATGAAGCGGCTTTGTGTGGTTTGTTCCTCTCCCACTTCCTGGCCCTCTCTTGGCCCTGAGCCAGCAGCAAGGGGTGAAACATTCAAAGTCCCTGCAGAGGATCAGTTCCTGCAACCTGACCTGGGACTGTGGCTGTGTTTGCACTCCTTTCAGGCAGAACATTTTCAACTAGGCCTCCTCCCCCCCCTCCCCTCCCTCCCCTTTGGAAAAGGCCCCTCGGCTGCTGTCAGAGGTTTTCTGAGCGCTGCTTCCTAAGGAAAGGGTCGCCTGGGGGGTCTCGCTGCTGGGGAAAGCAGGATCCAGCCTCTATTGTGCGCTGCAATTCCCAGCCCTCCTGAGTCCCCTCCCCGCCCCCCTTTTTACGGCTCTCAGGCTTTTCAGAAGCCCCTGTTAGTGGCAGCGGAGGGGGGAGGGGGAGCCCCAAGGAAGAGAAAGGGCTTCGGGTGAACGAGCATGAATGGGCCGTTTCTGTGGGCGCACAAGTGAGGGGGCACTAATCTCTTCTTCGCAGGAGGCTGGAGGGGGAGGGGTGACTCTTGCCACAGTTTTGACGGGGCTTAATTGGCTACCAGGCGCTGGGAGTCTTGCAGGCTGCCTGAAGGTGCTCTGGGAAATGCTGTTATTGCCTCTTGTCACCTGCACAAAGCGCTTCCTGCTCAAGGGCCAAAGGCCCGGACCGCTAGGGGCAGCAGCTTTGGGGTGGGGATGTGTTTAGCCAAGCTAGTGCAGAGCCACATCACGGTTGTTGTTAGTTTCTGTGTGTGTGTGTGTCAGGGTGTGGTTTAGCAAACAGCTAGGCAAACTCAGCTTGTGGGTTCATGGCTGACATCCAGAGAATCAGGATCCAGAGTGACCTCTGTTGCATCCAGCCAGTCTTGGGAAAGGAAGGGCGTCCCTCTTTCCCGGGAGCCCTGCGTGCGAATGCAGCACCCCCCCATCGTGAAGTTGCCCTTTCCCAGCGAGATGGATGCTCTCGGTTGGGCTCTACCCTAAGAAAGCTGAAGTTCTGGAAACAAAACGGAATGTCTACATTCCTGACTCCGGTGCTGGGAATGGGAAATGCATCCAGTGGTGCTTAAAAGTTTGTCAACCTTTTGAATTTTCAATATTTCTGCATAAGGGTGATCTAAAATGTGATCCGTTCCCTACACAAGTCTTAAGATAAAGAGAACCCAATTAAATAAGTCAAATACATTTATTAAATTTTTATGCCACCCATCTCAAGGAGACCAGACGACTCGTAGCCCCCTCCTCAGCTCAGGGACATCGGTGGCCTTCCGTGCGTGACCTTGCTTGTCAGGCACCCTCCCACAACACTTCTGTTGGGTTAACCTCAGGAGTTTCTTCCACTTTAACCATTCCTTGGTAGTGTGAATTGGATGCTATGGGTCATTGTCTGACTGTATGACCCAGTTTCTCTTGACCTTCAGTTCATGGACAGAGACCCCAGCGTTTGCTGGCACAACCCAGAATTCGTAGCTGTGGCAAGAGAGACCGCAGAGCAGATGCCACCACAGACGGACGAGGTCTTTGCGCTGAGTGCAGCGTTCGCCCTCCGCCAAGGGTCACACACTTCATTCCGGTCCAGGTCCAGAAGGTCCTATTTTGATCTCCTCTGTCCAGAGGACATTCTCCTTTCTGGCTTATCCAGATGGTCTTTCACAAACTGCACGTGGGCAGCCCTGTTCTTCTTGGAGACTAGTGGCTTTCTGCTTGCACTCTTGTTCAGGGGTCCACTGAGGGGGTCTCGTGAACACTGACATTCGCCAATGCAACTAAGAGAACCCAAGGCCTGGAGACTAAAACATACAAAGATCGGCTGCAGGACTTGGGTTTGGCTAGTCTAAAGAAAAGAAGAAATGGGAGACAGGATAACAGTGTTCCAGTATTTGAGGGGCTGCCACAAAGATGAGGGGGGTCACGTTATTCACCAAAGCACCAGAGGGAAGGACGAGAAACAATGGATGGAACCTGATCAAAGAGAGAAGCAACCTGGAATCAAGGAGAAAATTACTAACAGGACAATTAACCAGTGGAACAGCTTGTCACCAGAAGTTGTGGGATGGTATAACTTCTGCTTGAGCGGGGGCTGGACTAAAGACCTCCAAGGTCCCTTCCAGCTCTATTCTATTCTATTCAATGCAAGAAAGACCTTGAGTGGCTTAGAGGCTACTCAGGTTCTTGAGATCTTCTGGAGGATTGCTCTTGGGGTGGGCTTGGCTGACCATTCTGGGAGTTCAACTTTGATGCTGAATTGGTTCATTTGCACCTGATGGAGTCCAAACTCTTTGGAAATAGTTTGGTAACATTTCCATCCTGGTGAGCATCAACAAATGCTTTTGGAAGTCCTCAGAAATCTCCTGTTAGAGCCACTCCCACATATTTTCATCCTGAGGATCAGGCTTTTCATAGGAACGCCCGGAATTTAAAGAATTCTGCTGGTTTAATAAAGCAGGACCTCCAACACTCACACCTGATTAGATTCCCATTGATGGAAAATCTGGGTCTAGTTTGCCCTTCAAATGAACTGATCATCCTGGAGGCTCAGATACTTTTGCCACACACAAATATGTAGGTTTGGATAATTTTTCTCACTAAATGAACCAATATAATTTTTTTTATTTATCTGTTTAATTTGCTTCTGTTTATCTAGTTTTACCTTGTACCTGTGTAGAAATGCTGAAAGTCCAAAAGTGGTCAGAAACCTGGAAGCACCACTGCAGTTCCTAGGGGCTTTGAGGCTGAAGCACCTGTGCACGCTCCCATCCTGCTCCTGGCCAAGGGGAGCGGGGGGGGGGGGTTTAAGGAAGGGCCTTCTCTTCACCCCATTTGCCAAGCAGCTCCTGTGGGCTGTCAAAGAGGAGGGTGCAGGGAGGGGCTCAGAAACCACCTTGTGGGGCATCCTCAGCAAGGAAGAGGGACGATGGGCGAGAGCATCCAGGGACATTCTCCATCGCCCAGGTCATGGTGGTCCCAAAGGTGATTTTGACAAGGCAAAATGAGGGGCATTCATCCATGCATGAGCTGCCACATTCTGGGCCAGGTGGTCTTCAAGGGCAGCCCCATGTGGGAAATCATCACAGTAATACAGACAGGTGTGTGTGACCAAGGCATGAGTGACCGTGAGCAAGGCCTCCTCCCCAGCTATGGCTGCCCTTTCAGCAGGAGCCCTGAGTCCAGGAGAAACCCCCCCCCACTGCACATCAGCCCAGCCCAGGGAAGTGCCACCCACCCAGAGCCAAAGATGAAGCATCACCAGGGTCTGGATGGGGGGGGGGATAAAATCCCACAGCCACTCTGTCTTGCCAGGACTGAGTGAGAGCCGGTTCCTCCCCAGCCAGACCCTCACAGCCGCCAGGCCCTCGGCCATCCCCGCCAGGGCATCCCCTGTCCAGCCAGGGAGGAGATGCACAAGTGGGATTCATGGCCTATGGTGACACCAGGCCCCACCGGACGGCTGCCTCCCCAGGGGTCTCGCGTTGGAAAGGAGAAGTGCAGGGCCCCGGGGCCCCACCCTGCCCTCCTACCAGCCCCAACCAGAGCCAGACATGGAGGAAGGAGGAGAACCAGGTCTCCCCCTGCCAACCCCGAAGCTGGCCCGGAAGGATGCCAGGGTGGATGGTACGGAAAGCCGCCGAGAGGACCAGAAGGCTCGGCCTGTCTCCAGTGCTGTGCCCTGGCCTGAACCCCAACCGAGAAGGGTCCGGACACCTGGCTTTATGCGAGGCCCTCTGGAGCTGTGCACCGGCCTCTTCCCTCAAAAGGGATCGGGGGGGGGGGGAGGCTGGATGAACGTCGTCCAATACTGCGGGGTCCAAGGATGGGCTCTTAATCCCCACTAGGACCTGATCAAGGCCACCTCCCAGGAGTTCTCCGTCACAAGGACCCTGCCCACCTCCTCAAGAGCCACAAGGTCCCCCATCACCTCCAAGAGTCCAGGTCCAAGAGAAGTTGAGCAATTTTATTGAAGAGATGCCAAGACCCTTCCTCTCAGCAGCCTGCAAGGGCTCCAAGTGCCTCCCTACCCAGGGAGGGCCTGTTCTTGACGGGCCTCTCGCCTGGGGAGGGGGCAGAGGCAGGAAGCGGCAAAGTGGGGGGGGAGGAATCAAGCCTCTTGGCCAATCTTCATCCATTTAGGGACAGACACCTTTGGGGGACAAGATCATGGACTCTTTCACCCATCTGGCTGGAAGGGGGGGTGCTCTCCTCCTCGGTCTAAGGGAAGACTGGCCAGATGACACCTGTTTATTCAGAAAGGGAGGTGGCTGGAGCACATGGGCCATGTGGTACTTAGTGCTGCCAAGGAATGAGGCCGATGGAGGGCGCTGCAAATGAGGACGCATAAAGGAGGAGGTTCCCTAAGGCTCTGGCAGCCAAAGTAGTGCTGGGTCTGCAGGTTTCCCCCTTGCTGGCTCGCTCATTCTCATGTGCAGTGATGGGAGAGGCAGCCAGGTGTGAATGCAACCAGAACAAGCGATGCAAACTGGGGGCAGCTGCATTTTCCATTGGATTCCATTACACGAGCGCAACTCCTGATCTGCAAAAAAAACACAAACACAGCAACAGCAGTCAAAGCGCTGAAAAGTTTTCCTTCAGGATTTGGCTTCAGTCCTGCTGGCTCTGAAGAGGAACATTTACCAGCCGAGCAAAGTCCAGCGGGTTCTATTATTCCCACGAGCTGAGATTCTTCCGGGTTCTGCAAACGGACTGGAGCTCTCTTTCCAAGGAGGGTGGTTTTAAATGGAGTGGACTGAGCATGCAATGAGGTTGTTTTATTGGAAAGGGAGTGATGTGGTTACCAGTTGTGCTATGGGGAGGCTGGAGTATCTCCGATGAAGAAATTGGTCAGGCAACATCAAACCAGGGTGGCTGAGACAATCTATTCCCTTCTGACCATGGCATTCTGCATTTGGGGGGGGGGGTCCTGCTTGGCCAGAGGGCTGCACTACAGCAACGCTTCTAAACTACTGTGGCAGTGTGGACTTCCACTCCCAGAATTCCCCAG